TGTTTGCTATTGTTGGCGCCTGTTCATTTATCTGAACCTTCTTGGGCAAGAAAGATTCGAAAGTGGCGTTGAGCCACAGTTGAAGTAGCCAGAAAGGCCCAGCAAGTAACAAACTGGCCCTGTCCTCGACATGTTTCAGAAGAGTGGCCCCATTGCTGATCGAGTCATAAAGACTGGCCAGAATCAGTTCTGCCAAACAGATGTTTTGGCGGTGATGCAGTTGGGTAGCAAGAGTGACCATCTTTTTGGTCACTTGTAGAGACTTCGAGCAAAACACAAAGCGAGTTAGCCATAAGGCTAGAAACGCTATGTGTTCGACATCCGACACCGCGTCTGTCGACCTGTCGTGATAATGGTTGATAAAGGTGGTGTATGTTGGCTTGGTCTCAGAGAAGCCAATTTGGTCCTCCGACATCTCCTCCGGGTCGAAGTAATCTCCGGTTGGTCGAAGGCCAGTAATAGCTGCTACGTCGAAGAGTGTGGGGGTTAACATCCCACATGGAAGATGAAAAGTGAAGTGAGAGTAATCCCAGAACAACAGCGAAGCTATAAGCATCTCTGGGGAGTAGTTTAAGCCTGTCTTCGACAGCATCACTAGGTCGAAGATTCCCATTTCCTTCCAGAATGGAGTTTGATGTTTCTCCAACTTTGTTAGCCAAGCAACATAGTCGGAAGTCAGATTAGGGCAAGACCTGAAGACCCTAACACTTCTGTTGAAGAAGCGGAGGTCGATTTTTTCGCGTGTAGGGTCTTCGTTGTCTTCTGCGTCCTTCTTTGCGCATGCTACTGGCTTGAGTTTCTCGACGATGGGGAAATAGCTCTTGATCTTCAGAGCTTCAGAAATGCTTGGATTCATGGGGCCAGACATTGCGAAGATCTGGTTGGAGTATCCAACCGGGATCATCAAGTGGTGCGAGTAAGCATCGCGAACGGAGATGTCAGAAGGTTCAGGAACCCTTCGTTTCCCTGTAGAGTTTACTACCGGAGCAGTAACGAAGACCTTGGGTTTAACGTGTTGTTCAGTTGGTGCGTTAGCCTTGGGGGCAGTAGAAGCAGAGGCCATTGTTGAGGATGAAGATGAAGTAAAAGAGGAAGAGTTTTTCTGCAAAGAGAGCAAGCTTGTACGAAAACAAGGAAGTTTGAAGGCTAGTTTGCGTAAAAAGTCCCACAATGGGATATTCACTACTATTTATAGTAGTGGGAGAAATCCCCAATAACGAGGACATTAAATGTCATTTAATGCTGCAGGAATTAGTGGGACGCGTGGCAGCCCCTGGTTGTTTTGGCCGTTTCTGCAGAAGTAGAGAGACGCAGCGTGCGTCCTCGTTTTTGAGAATTGTCATAATGACAAATTCTGAAGTGACGTTTGGTACTGCACGCCGTACTGAAAGTGACGTCCTAGGATCAAATCAATGATGGTTTCTTGGGATTGCCAATAGTTGGTAAAAAGCAACAAAAAGTGCACAAGTTAACTTGTGACTAAGCGTGGAAAGACAGGTGTCGAATGGCGTTTTCAAAGAATGCCTTTTTCTTTCAGAGTCGAAATAAGGCATTCTTGGGGGGCAATTTGTTGGCTCCTAAATTCGACACCTTTGTTTTGATGGATGTCAGCCATTAAAGCTGAAAGATGCTTTCGACTGGCTAAGTCTGTCGAAGTGCCCGTCGAAAGATGGCAAAATACTTAGAAGATTTCTTCCAAGGAAGAAGGCTGAGTGCCTTCGACGTCGAAGGAGCTTCTCGTCGAAAATGTCTCTTGACGAACGTGTTCGATGGTCCAGAGTGGAGCAGTTTGAAATTCAAAGCTTTGGAGGGAAAACGGTTTCCAGCAGTTACTACGTGCAAACGTGCAAGGATCTGGAGCGTCAAGCATGGAGAACGTGCCAAGTGGATTGATCTCGAAGCAGTGTAACTGCCCGACGGTTACTTGGGATGTTTTAGTATAAATAGGAGTAGACATGTAGTTTCTCGCGTGTGTTCACAATTCTATACATAGTCACTCATTTAGATTCGAGTACCTAGTGTGTGAGAAAGAATTGTTGAGAAATGTATGTGTGAAACACCAATTTTATCAATTAAAGTCATTTACTTTTCCAGCATTTTACTTGCTTTTCTCCTTTAAATTCCTGTCGAACCTTTACTTTAAAGCCTTGTTTATTTTACCAAGTCTTTCCTTTATGCAATTTACTTGAAACCTTTTATTTAAAGCCTTATCCAACTTAATCAAACTTCAAAATCAACCTATGTCCATAGGATCAATCTGATCGATCCTGCGAGTAACCAAATAAGTAACCATTTGGAGGATCAGCGGTTGTTTACCAAAACCCAAGGTAAACAACAACACACAAAAATTGTTAACCCAGTTCAGAGCAAATCTCCTACTCTAAGGGCATACCAAGCCAGGGACAAGTCTACTATGATAATATCAATTCATAGACCCTAAAACAAACATACCAGTTTACGATCTACTCACTTAATCACTACATGTGTTATACTTCTATCTAATACTCACATAGACATGAGACCATCCTTAATCTCTCATCAATCACAGACAGCGATTGGATAATAAACAGGAAGACACACTTTCGTGACAGCAAAACAGAAGTCACGCTTCCATGATAATACCTAGTCAAGACCTAAAAGCTAAACTCCACTGTTTAAAATTTTAATCCTAATTAAGAACACAACTCGGAGTTGCTTAAAAGCTTCCTCCAAGAACAATAATCAACTATGTGCTTAAAATCTCAAGAGTGATAACAGAACCATGCAATTCAAGGAACGCAATCCAAATCACATGTCGATTAGATTACACAACCAACTCTCATAGAGAGTGGTATAGACTCAGCCCTAATGATTACATCTTTTCAATTCTCAGATGGTACAAAACTTAGGTTACAATACTTCTATAACCTATCTCCCAACTGGATTTGGGCTTCTAATCACAACACATTAGCTGTTACAAATCATCAGAAACTTCTGCTACAAACAAGGTCTTCAATAATTAGTTTCCTAATATATCTCCATATTTAGAAACTGCATATTCTTCAATATTTTGACTTGATTCTTCCAGACCTTTAAATCAGCGCCACATAAGATTGCATAATCTTTCTAGAATATTCTGCAACTGTTAAATCATAATTGAATTCATTAATCCAGCTAATCTCAGGCGCGATGTCGTATGACCCTGCATAGGACATCTTATCTGACATGTTGCTCTAGATGTTGAAACACTTCAACTCAACATGTTCCTTCATAAGATATGACTTCTTGCTTAACCTGTTTCTATTTAGCAAGTTAACACATCCTATCTAACATATTGCTGTTATATTTATTTTACTAAAATTAATGTCAATCCTAAAAATAGAGAATTAACATAGAGTAATATAGATACATATAGTTATAATACCTTCCCTTTGTACAACCACCCACATACCTTAGATCTCTTCTTTGTGCTCTGTTTTCAGTTTTTACTTCTTGCATTGCATGTTTAAATATTAGGGTTTCGATCTTTTCTCTTTTCCTTGGAAACAATAAAGTTTGGTGGTGACTTATTAAACTTTGTGATTCAAGTTTCTCAATACCTTGGTCTTTTGATTTTTCACCACGACAATGTCTAATTTCCCTTCTGACCCTGAATCAAAGTTATTTGTCAATATTTCATCATCTTCGATAGGCACAAATTCCTTGCCATTTGGTTTGACCACTGGTGACAGAGGAGGGAAGAGTCTTTATTTTAGGAGTCTCTTTTCCATTTGGTCATTTTCCATTTTTGTAATTTTACCCTTTTTACTTGATTCTTTGGCCCCGAGAGCCGATTTTTTCCTTTAATATCTTCTCTATTGAGTTCAAATCGTTAGATTTTTACCCAAATAGTTTTCTGAATCATAAAGTATTTATTAGAGACATGGGATTGTATGAGGATCCTGCACATACTTCAATCAACTTCCACCTTTGTTGGTCAACATTGGAGCGTCCTACAAGTCGAATCCACTCACTAATAAGAACAACAATATATGTCATGTAATAATTTTGACTCCTCCAATGACGTGAGGGCTCTTTTTATTTTTGATAAGGAACATCTCTTTTGCCAAAGGCATATTGGGGCCTTACTTCATCCCTATGATTCCTCCTAGGTGGTTGATGTTAAAAGTCTTCGAGGCCTTTTTTGGTCTCTTTGTCGAAGACAACACTACAACGAGTGCATAACATAACCTCAAAGCCTTTCATATTACATCTATTGAGGAAATCAATCAAATTCTTTAGCCTTTAGACACACCACTTTGACCTTCTCAGCATAGTCCAATATACTCTTATCTCCTACCTTCAAACATGAGTCTTCAGTGATCTCAACCATCATGATGTTGACAGGTTTGACAAAATTTGCTTCTTCGACTTGCAAAAGATCACAATCAATCTTCGTGAGCGGTTTGATATTGTTTCCAAACTTCAACCTTTCATCTTTTAGAGCATTTTATATTAGATCTCTATGAAAAAGACACATTGAGAAGTTTTATGACCAAAAAAATTATGATACTTGCATAAATCTTTTTTATTTCTTAATTTCTTAATTTCTTAATTCTTTCTTTTATTAAAATAATTGAAAAATAACAAATGACATGGATTAAAAAAAATAAAAAGTATAAAAAAAAGTTAATATATGATTAAAAAAAGTTAAAAGAAAATAAAAATCCACATGTATTAAAAAATTTAACCCTATAATTTTATAAACCTCCTTTTAACAAAATTGCAAATTTGCAACGCAAAAACCATATAACCGGTAATAGCTTATGACGTGTCACTCAGCCGCTGGCTAAAAATCCACCACTACCCATATCGTGCACCTTGTCTCTGCCTCGCAAAAAATTAAACGAATTTGGATAATAATAACAACAATAATTCGAAAAAAAAAAAGAATATCCTCTCATCCTCTCATCTCAATTCTGTGACGAGAACCTAAAGCCTTCAAGCTTGAAGCGTCTCGCACAGGAACCTTCTCATCATCCATGGCGAAGACACTGATTTCTTCTCCATCATTCATCGGTACTCCACTTCCTTCACTTCATCGCAGTCTCTCCTCGAATCGCACCAGGATGTTCACCAAAGTTCAATTCAGTTTACACCAACTCCCTCCAATTCAATCCGTAAGTCATTCGGTTGACTTGTCCGGAATCTTCGCTAGAGCTGAAGGTTTACTTTACACGCTCGCCGATGCTACTGTTGCGGCGGATGCTGTTGGTTCTAGTGATGTTGCCGTGCAGAAGAGCGGAGGTTGGTTCGGGTTTATTTCTGATGGAATGGAGTTTGTTCTCAAGGTAATCTTCGTAACTCGTGTGTTTTTAGTTTTTAGGTCATGTTTGGATGAACAAGTTAGTCAAGCTTTTATTGTTATGTAAGTTTTATTTATAAGCTTTATATATATTTTTTTTAATAAAGTTAAATTGTTTGAATAAGCTATAAGGTGTAACTGTGTTAGTAATATACTGTATTCACAATCTTCTCTGAATAAATGAAAACAGCTTATCAATATGTAGAAAGAGCTCTCCCAAACAGTTTTACTAATGCTTATACACTCTGTCCATCAAAGCAAGCTCTTACTATATAAGGATTATGTCACGTTTTGTGAAGATTGAGAGCCTTCAAATTCAGGGAACTTGTATTATCGGGGCAGTTTAGCTTGCTTATATCTTAAGATACGCTCGCTCATTGAGTTTTAGTAGTATGGTTTTAAATTGCGGTTGCAGTCCGCTGCAATTGAAATGCGTATTGCAGTTATTGCGGTGTGAATTTGTCTTTTATTAGCATAAGTATTACAATTTATTAGTTATCTTATACAACTCCCATCTCCTATTTCATCACTAAAATCTCATACGTATCTCCTTATCAACTTTCCATCCCTTTAAATATCTCTAAGTACCCCGAAATCTATGATACAAAAAAGGAAGCTAGAAAGATTATTTTTGTGAGCACTACATAGTTTGTTGCGGTCTAATATGGTGTGATGTAGGAATTGCAAGTTGCAGTTACTTACAATGTGATTTTTAATATGATTTACGATTACACTGCAATTGCAGTCTAATGTTTCTGTGGACACTGCCACAACCGGGGTATTGCAGCTGGATCACGAGATGAAGTCCACAATTTAAAATCATGTTTAGAAGATTAAATAGTTGATTTTGAACGAAATTTACATGGGGATGATGTTAAGGTTGTTAAATTCTAGGCCACTTCTCATCCTGAATGATATTTTGCAGGGGAAGTGTTCAGTTGTTCACTGTTATGGACAAACTCTGAACTCTATAACCTTTCTCTCCATCTCTCTCTTTATTTGGTCTCTTTCATGATTCTCCTTCCATTCTATACACCTTTCTCTCCATCTCTCTCTTTATTTGGTGTCTTTCATGATTCTCCTTCTATTCTATACATCACAAACTCTCTCATTTTATCACAATTTTGCCCAAAGTTATCATATATTTTGCAGTCCAAAGGTCGAGAATCTAAATCCCAAAACCAACACATAGAAACGGGTAATAATTTGATTAAATAAAATAATTGAATGTAATCATATGTGTTGATGTTGTGTCGATGTTAGATACCTGACACATATCGGATGCTTAACACAAGTTTTAATTTGAAGTGCCGGTTCTACGTAGATTAATGACTTACTATTTATTGTCTGCTATTAATTCTATTACACAAGTTAAATATTTGATGCTTTTTGTTATAAGGATATATATACTTGGAAATGGAAAGAGTAATGCTATTTGTTTAGAATGTATTTCTAGCTTATACCCCCCTTTGCTTTACAGTTAATATGTAATTTAACCACAAAAGGAAAGTAAAGCTACCTAATAAACGCTACACGTTTCTGTAAATTTTTTGGAGGATTGGATTTTCTATTCAGAAATGTTTTGCTTCTTGTTACTCAAGTACTTGTGCTTTAGATGTCATGTAACTCTTCTTTTGTATTTATTTAGGTGTTAAAGGATGGTTTGTCTGCCGTGCATGTGCCTTACTCATATGGATTTGCTATCATATTACTCACTGTTATTGTTAAGGCTGCTACACTTCCCTTGACAAAGCAACAGGTTAGTACAAATGACAGCAATTTCTTTTGGAAAATTTACTGAAAACTTTAGTTATGGTAACTTCTTTATTTGAAACATTAAAAACATTCCATAAATGGATTTTTCTTTCAGTGATATGAAATTCAAGACACACTATATCTCACTAAATGAAATTCTGACTTTACTTAGTACACGTAGGTTGAATCAGCACTAGCTATGCAAAACCTTCAACCTAAAATTAAGGCCATTCAAGAAAGATATGCCGGCAATCAGGTAAGGGGTGTTGTTGTTTATTACTTATTTAGCATCCAATTTAATCTCAAGTAAATATTGATTTGTACCTTAAAATAATAGCATGGTCGTTTCTAAACACTTAATTCATTGCTCTCATTTCAAGGAAAGAATACAACTTGAGACTTCAAGGCTATATACCCAGGCTGGGGTTAACCCGTTGGCAGGTACATTTTTATCTTACTGTCGACTTTATCATTTTCTTTTTCTCAACACTGGTTCTGTATAGTAATGCTTTGACATGTGATAATATGATTCCAAAACACTTGCATAATCCTAACTGGGATGCGCTTATAGAATATGATTTCATCATTTTGTATAGGTTGTTTACCAACCTTGGCTACTATTCCAGTCTGGATTGGTCTATACCAAGCTTTATCTAATGTGGCAAATGAGGTAGTTAATGGAGTAAACTATTGTGATTGGAGATTTTGATAGAAAAATTACAAATACATGATTTTCGCTTATTATTGAAACTTTTAATTTGAAGGGATTGTTAACAGAAGGTTTCTTATGGATCCCTTCTCTGGGTGGTCCCACTAGCATTGCTGCTAGACAAAGTGGATCTGGAATTTCTTGGCTTTTTCCGTTTGTGGTAAGTTATCCTTTGCTCATAAGTGTAATAGTTATTTGTATTTGGCTATTTCTTTTCCATTATACTTGTGAATCTTGGACTTCAACAATACAATTTTCAGACATCACATTATTTACTCTTATTTTCTTTGGAGCTTATTCCCAGTGATGCTTCTTGAAATCATAAAACTCTAAATTATATGGCATACAGTACAGTTGGTGCTAAAAACTCTTTTCAGTGTTAATTTGTTAGTAATGCATCAATTGTTTTAGTTTCTGTTTGTGACAGTATGTGCAAGGTTCTTTTCCAAGTTATGCATATTGTCCCTGTTGGTCTTAGATTCCAGTAAATGAGACTTGAGTTCTTTATGAGCTATTTCATTACGAAAATAAGTTCTCTTATATCCCATCCTAGAAAGCTTATGACAACTAGTTGACAACAATTGGATATATCAAAGTATTCAAGTAAGATATGCCTAAATACCCTCTTCCAAAGACAACCCTGGAAAATCATTTTGCTACTATATGTTAGACTAATTATTATTATTAAGTGGCAGTTATTATTATATTATTAGGAGCAGTTTAGAGCAGTTATTATATTGTTTGTGACAGTTATATGTTTTATAAATTGTGTGTTTATTTTAAGAATAAATAGGAGAAGATAGGGGAGAGTTTTAATATCTTGCAATTTGATTGAAAAGGCCATTTCGGCATTAGGGGAGGTGCAGAGCCTTGAAGTTCTGCCGCATTATTTTGTAATTCAAAGGGATTATTCCTATTTTCTTTTATATATCAGTTGGTCTCTATCAGAAAACAACATTGTCTTGATGACTTTAGTTGTTTTTCTCTTTGGTTGATGCTCTTTTCCCACTCTTTTTTCAAGAAAAATTTTTCTTCTTAGTTTTTTTGGTAGTGGCTGGGGGTGTTAGATTTCACTTCCTTCTTTATATTCACACGGATAATAGCATTTATTGTTCGTAAATCATAATATAATGCTCTGAAGTTTATAAATCATGAGAACATAAAAGAATGCACAAAATGGAGTAATAATGGTGATGTTATAGATTTAAATTCCTCTGCTACCGCAGTCATTTATCAAGAGGAAATAGGTCATAAACTTTGTAAGTTAATTTTATGCTTTTTTGTTGTTATACAATATCATAACAAACAACTGTTAATTGTTATGCAGGATGGCCATCCACCTTTGGGTTGGCCGAACACTGCAGCATATCTTGTTTTACCTATTCTTCTTATTGTTTCTCAATATGTTTCAATGGAAGTCATGAAACCCCCTCAGGTGAGCATGTCTGTTATCCTTCTCTTTCAATTTTATTCTTACAAGGCAGTCCTAACTTACTTTTTTTGACAGACAAATGATCCTAATCAAAAGAGTACACTTGTTATTTTAAAGTTTCTCCCACTCATGATCGGCTACTTCTCGTTATCTGTCCCATCTGGACTAACAATTTACTGGTTAGTAATTTACCAACTATATCAATGGACTCCTTTCTAGATATTAAGTTCCTATTTTTAATTTTCATATTTTTGCCACGACTTCATACATTCTTTATGTGTTTTATTATATATATATATCTTCTATTCTATAAACAATTCAAATTTGGTCAGAAAATCTACTTATTGTATCCATACAATTAACTCTTTGTTTCAGAAACCATTTCCTTGATTATGTCAGCTAAAAGAACATTGTTTGTGTGCTTGGAAAAGAAGCAATCTTGTTTCTGATTGATTTTCTATTCCTTTTGCTAGGTTTACAAATAATGTCCTTAGCACAGCTCAACAAATATGGTTGCGCAAACTAGGAGGTGCAAAGCTCGCTGTTAATGAAAATGCTGGTGGAATTATTACTGCTGGACGAGCTAAGAGATCAGCTTCTAAGCCAGAAAAGGGTGGTGAAAGGTCAGTGTCTTATGGTACAAGTTGCAGCCTCGGTCTTTCAATCCCTCTCATGCTTACGACAAATTGGTGATCCACAGGTTTGCACAGTTAAAAGAAGAGGAGAAGAAGAAAAAGCTACTTAAGGCACTCCCAGTGGAGGAAGTTCAGCCTTTGGCGTCTGCTTCAGCTTCTAATGATGGCTCAGATGTAGAAAACAACAAGGTAAATATTCAACTTCAAAAGTTTCCTGGTCACAAATTGTATACTCTACCCGAAGAACCCCAAGCTAATCAAACTTTATACCAGGAACAAGAAGTTACAGAAGAGTCGAACACTTCTAAAGTTAGCCAAGTGGCTCAAAGTTTTTCTAGGGAAAGAAGAAGTAAGCGTTCAAAGCGGAAGCCTGTTGCATGATGGTGGATCACATACAATTGTTTGTAGTTTATAGTAAGTTTTGTATATGTTAACAGTTTGTACCATTTTTGGGTTGACAATTTTATTGAATATGTTATTTAACTATGCAAAATATGTTTTTTCATTTAAGTTCCACATGTTAGCAAAATAAAATTGTCCTTTAACACATTCGTATTTTCTTACAATCAAGATTTGTAAGAGGTAACCTTTCTACGATCATGTTTGAAACCTACAAAGACACACTTTCTAGGCCGAGGGTCCTAATTTAAAGGCTAAGAGAAGCAGTTAAAGACTTCAAAATCAAGGAAGGTGGGTGGCTTGGTTATGTAGTGCCTCAAATGGTCATTATTCAAATAAGAAGATGCATTTTAATGGAGGAAAGGGACTAAATGAAATATTATATGTTTGGTGGTTGAGAGGAGAAAAGGGGGATGGCTTTTCTTTCACAAGGGAGAACACAAATTTTAAGTTAAGAGAGAATGTTAAATTAATTCTTTTACATCTTCATAACACTTCATGTGACATTTGATTCAATTGTGATAGAATGAAATTAAATAAGTTTATGTTGTATTGTTTGGATCGAAGATACTCTCTCAAGGTTTTTCTCTACATCAAAAGATACTCTCTCAACCACATTTCAATTATGGAAACAATTACAGTCTGTTGCTCCACAACTATCTAAAAAATTATTCATAATCCTCTCTTTTGCCACTTATAGAATAAACCTGCCATACTTGGAACCCAAGGATTTAAATCCTTACCAGCTCTTGCGTTATATCTGACATCTTCCAAAGGGAATGAAAAGATAATAACCTAACTCAAAAAATTGGAAATTTCAAAAAATCAGGGCGATATCAGAAATTTGCTTGACATACCCTTTCCAGTAGAATTTCACGGAAATTCAAAAATTTAAAGAGAAATTAACGGAAATTTCATAAATTATGGTATTTTTTATCGAAAATTTCAAAATTTTCGATATTTTTATAGGTTATTGTACCAAAATTTTTGAAAACTCCGGTATTTCAATTTTTTTTTTTGAAAAAATTCGAAAATTTTGGGTAATTTATTTTTAACTAATTTTTTTATATCATTTTTTCATTTTTTTTCTAGTGAGGATCAGGGATAGGGACGGTTTCATTGGGGGTATGTTGACTGATAAAGCGCAAGTTCAGGTCAGGGGTGATGATGTTAAGGCTTCTCAGCTACAGGTTGGACGACATCCGCTGACCGGTTCTCACTGAAAATAAATGGCTGAGCAAATGCAATTCCGCGCATCTCGACGTCAAACTACTAGAGTTCCTACTATCGAGGAGGTGTCTGATCTCGTGTCTACTATTGTGGAGGTACATGTATCTTTTGATGAGGACGTACCTGTACATGTTATTGATGAGGTATCCGTTGGAGAGGTTGTTGTTGAGGAGGTTTCTGTGTTGGTTGAGCAGGTTCCTAATGCTGATGAGGTGTCTCCTACTGATACAGACGTCATGACTCGTGCGTCTATAGAGTCATCTGTTCACATTGATAAAGCCTTTCTGTGAGGATCTAGTGATCGATCTGTGCTCACAAGGTATGCTGACCATGTCGTATATATAGTATGGCAGGAAAAAGTATATATGTTATATTTTTTATTGCAATTATTTATTATGGCTCGGTGAAGTGTTGAAAGTTTATTGATACCTTTTTAACATTGTTTCGTACAAGAACGTCTGACATTGAAGGTCATATCCCACAATTTGAAATTGAAGAACTTCTAAGAGGATTCGATGCCTGAGCAGGTCTGGCGTTTTGTCTGTGATTTTAGTCTCCTAGAATTTGTCGACTGCTCACTGACCATGCTTGGCATCTCCCTTCTATAAGCTTTTGTTGAGCGGTGACACCCAGAGACATCATCATTTCATCTTCATTTGAGGAGATGACTATCACATTGAATGATGTCTCCTCTTTGTTTCTTCTCTCCATCATCGGTAGATTCTTCATTGGTCCTCTTATTAATCAGACAACAATGTTGATACAGGTTGTAGAGGATCTGCAGGTCACTGAGGATCTGGTGCTTGCAGACAGAGGATTGCACCTTTGGATGTCTTGTCTCCTACAACAAACATAAATAAAAAACTAAAGATGAAAACATTGGTACTACCAGATGATTCTGTATGTCTTAACATCTTGATTATGTCATTAACAGATCTTGTTATCTGCACATCTAACTCGATCAAACTCTTAGTTATCCTACGTCGAAATTATTCCACACGGTCTTCACATCTTCACCGATCTTCAACTCAATCAGATTGTATTTCACCCTTCCACTTGTATCAATACAATCTTCCCAAAACTTGATCTTTCTCACTCTTTTATTATCGGCATCAGGCAGCAACTCATTCAACATGTCTTTCAAGTTGGCGAGGGATGTGGTGCCATATAATTTAATAGGAGGATTGTTTCTGTTAAACTCAATGTTTTAAAAATCGAACCGAATTTGTTGGACCGGGAATCAGAGATAAATCCGGTTGGGTCAACCTTTAAAAATCACTAATGGGTCAAAATCAGAAAAACCGTTCAAAACCATTCGAATCAAGAACCATAACCGGTTTCGTAAAACCGCCCGATTAAAAAAAATACATCAAATGGGTCTTTTTTCTTAATTTTTAAAATATTTAATATGTCATTATTAAAACTTAACATACATTCTCCAATTAAAAAATAGTTAATTGTTTTTTTTTTATAACCATATAAATTTTTTAAATTTTGTCACTCTATTATAGTTTTTCTTTCAACTACACTCCATCATCATCACGTCATCTTTTTCAAACATAATCACGCTGTCTAGCTCAACATTGATTTTCGTTCAAGTCAATATTGCTTGTTGTTGTCAATTATGACTTGTTTGTTGTAGCTCAATTTGAATCTGCTTTTTGTTATTTAATCAAGTATATTGTATTGTTTATTTTTTATATTCTAACTTATTTAATTTAGGTATTCTTAATTATTTGAATTTTTATTTTAGTTATTATTTTTCATAATTTAAATTTTGGTTTGAATTAGTTTAACTTATTTCATTGTAATTTTTTATTTGTTCAAATTATTTTTAAATGAAAGTTTAAATGAATTGTACAACTATGTTGTGTTATTATTCGTACTATCAATATTGTTGTATTAAGTTCTCGTGAACATCTGATTATGTGTGACATATCTATGAAATTTAGTTTCATATTATTAGGTTATTTAATAAATAATTTGATCGTAGGTTTAACCGGTTGAACCAATTAAACCTTAAACCAATTAGAAATTGAGGACCAATTAATCAGTTAAAATATTCTTCTGCCTTAATTAGAAATTGAGGAAGAGAAATTTTTAAAATGTCTTTATCTATAAGATATTCCCTTATTTATACAATTTTAGATTCATTCCAGACCACTCAAATTTATCGGTGCAATCAGAACCCACGAATATATCGGTAAAATCCTGATCGTTAAAAAATTCTAAATCAATACACTAAGGAAATTTCATCATACAACTAAATTTCTAGTACAAAATAGTATATTTTGAAATTTCCAGAAAAAATTAAGAATATCAGAAATTTCAAATGAACTACCGATAATTTTGTACATACCGGGAATTTTTAATATTGTACTAGAAATTTCGCTTGAAAAACTGTTCTTTTTATTAGGGACATTTTTGGTATTATGAAAATATGGAGGGTGCGAGGTATAATTGTGGGAGTGATAAGTTAAATCCTATTGTAATAAGAGATGCATATCCGAAAATTTGAATGATATATTTTTTTAAATACACGAGGTTAATTCATATATATATATATATATATATATATATATATATATATATATATATATATATATATATATATATATATATATATATATATATATATATATCTGAAAACATACCTGAACCAGAAAAAAAATCAGAAACTTTGTAAACAAGCACATGCAATATAAATCAAAAACAAATCATAAAATTAATATGTATTAAATCGCATCAAGATAATATCGTTAAGGATAATACATACAAAAATGTATTGATTACAATCTAAAATGCATTAAAAGATCCAATGCCGCATAAATCTACCGTTGGTTATGCTTTCGACTTTTCCTGATTTAATTCTCTTTCAAACTCGCTCAATTTGATGAACTTTAGCATCCTCTCCAGAAATTGATCCGGCCATGTTTCCGCCTCATTTATTGAATGTGTTGTCCACTCTATCGATGTAGTCAGTATTGGACACCCAGGTTTCAAGTAAACTTGAACAAAATATATCAAGAAACCTGGTTTGAAATTGAAAAGTTGGTTGAGAATAATTTTTTTAAGGGTTTTTGGTTATGGAAGGAGTTTGAAGAGTGAGAGAGATGATCATGCAAGATGGTCATATATTCAATTTTCCACTGAAGATTTTCGAAGATGTATCTCCGAAAATATCACTAAGTGATTAAAAACATCTTCTAAATGAAAAAGTATTTTTGAAGATGTATCTATGAATTTACCTTTCGGTTTATTCAGAGATGCATCTTCGAACTAAATTTTAGTAAAAAAATAGTATTTGGTGCATTTAGAAATATATCTCTGAATAAACCCAAGGATATTTTAGAGGTTTTAGAGATGTGCCCCCATTGTATAAGGGTGTAAAGAGAAATTGCCAAATAAAAATTCACTACTTGCGTTTGCTCATCCAATTTAAGGTGTAATAATTTGTACTTTCTACAAATTAACTATAAAAAATAATTTCTTTTTTCACCTGGGTGTTTTCTTGCAGGCTCCTGGTGAAAACCCAAAATACTCCCAAACTTCGGATGTGCATATCCAAATGCACCACGATTAATTTTTTATTTAATTGACTTCACATATGCATATTCGAAGTCACCTGATTGCTTATTTCAGATATGCATATCTGAATTCATCTCTGGGACAGAAGAATCAACATAATTCAACATAACTCATAACATAGATTTAACACAATTCATCGAAAATACATATATAGTTCTACAGAA